AGAAAGAGACAGAGAGAGGGTTATAAAAGCCAGCCTTCTGCAGAAAAAGTCTGTGACATGCCCACCCCGCTTTCCGGATGCTTGCTGGAGAAGATCGTTTCTGAGGAACCAAAATAGCAGCAGGTAATACGACAACACGGCCACGTTCTCCACCCGCCGCAATGCAGGTCGAGGAGACCCTCTCGGCACTCTGCAACGGGAGCTTGGAAAGGAGGGACCAAGAGAGCCAGCCCCCACACTCCCCAACCCCCACGCTGAGCTCTGTGCCCTGGAAGACAAGATGCCAGCACCCCAGGCCGGTGTGTGTGTGTGTGTGTGTGCCCAAACGCCAGGCACGTTGCTCCCCCTCCCAAGTCTGGCTGGGGGGCCACCAGGTGTGCCTGCTCTATCTAGGCTGCAGCTGGAGCGACACAAGCACACCGGGGAGACGTGGGGCCGAGTTCACTTCATTAAACACAGACCAGGAGGACCAGCACAGAGTGCGCCAACCGTCTCTCCCCCTGGGGTTTTCGAGCTCCCTAATTGAGACGCATCCCGATCAGGGTTCATGCTTCACCCAAGGCAGGCAAGGTCAAGCCAACGTTGGGATACGTTGGAGGCCAAGAGGCAACCTAGGGGTGGGGTGGGTGGGAAAGCAGTGGCAATCGAGAAAAACAGGAGCGCGGTTCTCCTGTGATTCATGTTTTACAAATACATCAAGGAGCCCAGCCTTTTAGGGGTGTGATCGAGACTGAGAAACAAAATGAACATCATGTCCTCAACACAATTAGGAGTTCCAGCTAGAGAACACCTCTTGAACCAAACGGAACTGGGCAAAGTGAAACGCCACGGAGCCGCCCGCCCCCCCCCCCCCGTTCTAGCTGGGAGGAGCAACCAGAGTTAAGCCATTAATGAGAAAAATACTGAAAGAAAGGCCAGGATCCTACTACAGTTTGTGCAAGCCTTGCCTGACTCCCCACAGCTAATGGCAGCTAATTGAGAAGGCGCCCAGTCCCGCCCTTGGTTGCAGACGCCGTTGCCTGCAAGGGAGATGCTCACCAGCCTTTCCTCAATGAGTCACAATGAGCCATGCAAACCTTCCCCAAACACCAGCAGACGTCTGACCAGACATGGTCCATGAGAAAGGAGGGAAGCTTGTTCAGCCACTCCTAGCCTGCTAATCTGGGCTGACCTGAGACTCTTGGTCGCCTGCGGTGATGATGCCCCACTCCTTCCATATCTACAAGCTGTCTGGGCAGGCAGCTGACACAACCTGGGAACAACTTAAGGGCAGCTTGTGGAGACACATCATTCCACACACTGCCCTCCCTTCCAACACTTTGCTGCCGCCCCGCAGGCACTGCCACCTGAGGCAACCACTTCTCTCTGCC